TTGGCTGGCTTGAGTTGTGGGGATCGAACCACAGCAACCTGAGCCTGACTACTTTGTTGAAGCAGCCACTTAAAGAACTGAGCTAAGGGGCAGGCCCCCTCTACTACATTTTAGATTTTAAAACATCACAAGAATTAGATATTCCTCATTTTTCCTGCAATAATTTACACAATTCCTTTTCCTAAAGCCATTGGAAGGCCTTGGCAGGTAGACAGCAATCATGTGTTATATTTAAAGTAGCATTATGGGTCATTTTATATCATTTGTGTTTAAATGTTTTTCATCACTATATAATTAGTGATTGTACAAATCAAGTTATTACAATGTTCTTAATTTAAGGCATCGCTCCCAACACAATGTTAGCCAAAGTCTGCAGTGATAAGAATAAACCAAATGGACAATACCAAATTCTTCCCAACAGACAAGCTGTAATGGATTTCATCAAAGACTTACCAATTAGAAAGGTGAGATGTTATATAAACTGTAGCATTTGCATGTGTATTTTGAATTCTAAAGAGAGGCTAAGCTGATAATAATTGTATTTTGCTGAAAAATTTTAAAATGTTAGGCAACAGGCAAGAGCTATTATGGGTGGTTGAATGAAAACTTGAAGAAAATCTTTGTGTGAAATCCTTAAAGTAAGGTTTATGATGCTTATTTGCAATTTTTCTTTTTTGTCTTTTTAAAAAAAAAGTCTTTCATTATGCAGTTCATGCTGGCCTTGAACTTGCATTACAGGCATGTACCACAATTCCTGGCCTTTTTTGGTTGTTTTTAAAAATTTTTCGTTGTTTTTATTTTTTGAGATAAGGTCTGCATAGACTAGCCATGAAGACACTATGTAGCTTAGACTGGCCTCAAACTCATGAACTCATAGAAATTCTCCTGCCCCATCCTCCCAAGTGCTGGGATTACAGCACTGATCCCAGTAGTGCACCGATACACCTAGCTTTTGCAGGAAAGTTTTTAGAAAGTAATAGATGATAGACTTTCAAGTGGACTCCTGCTCAAGAGAAAGGAAATAAAAAGTATGCTTGAAGGAGTACTGTGAGCCCTAACTCAGTACTATCTTAATTCTCAAGGCCAGATTGCTGCTAAATTAGTAGATACGATTCTTAAAAGACATTTAGAATTTTTTTGTTTTTCACAAAAAATAAACCACAATACTATTTTTAAAATGATAAAATTATCCCTTAGGGATTCCAGAAAAAGATTTATTTTATTATTCTTTAGAGCTTCTAGATTTTTCTGCATATACCTACCACTCTTATTTTTTTTTTTTACAGTAACTGTGCTATACACTATGTAATGGTCTAGAGCTTGTTTTCATTCATTCATTCATTCATGTGAATGAATTTAAATGAAGGATTTTAGAATGCTGAAAAAGGGCTTCTATCAAAATATACAATGTATATGATTACTAGGTAATATATATAAGATATAGTTATAAAAGGGTTTTTTTCTAATATGTGTCAAGGTACAAATAGATGCCAATTTACAAAGGCTCTGGGATCAAATAACTTTGGAGTCTCACACCCTTGGCTGGATTACTCTGTATATAATGGTATCTTAAGGACTTATACATCTTGTACAAAAAGTTCCATTTGTGTTTGTTTATCCTACCAGTCATTTTATACGCCCATATAACTCCTTCTTTAATGTCTTTAGAAGTTTCATGGAATGGTACTTTGTGAAATGTGACCAAAAAGTAATAAATTCCATTTTCTTGTATGACTTATAAAGATCCATTATTCATACCTTTTTTATTGATTGTAAGAGTTATACTATTATAATCTCAGTTCTGACCTTACTTTTTAAAAAGCCTATTAATAGTAAATATTGATTGTCTTCTAGGTCTCTGGGATAGGAAAAGTTACAGAGAAAATGTTAAAGGCCCTGGGAATCATTACTTGCACAGAACTCTACCAACAGAGGGCGTTGCTTTCTCTCCTTTTCTCTGAAACATCCTGGCATTATTTCCTTCATATTTCCCTGGGTCTAGGCTCCACCCACCTGGCAAGGTATGCACATGTATGGTCACTCTGCTTTTTCTTTTATCCTTTGTTGCAATATCAATTTTAGCCATTGAGATGAAGGCTATAAAATTAAAGTGTTTAAAAATTCTTTTAGACTAGCTGAATTATAAAGCCAGCAGATTGGATATGGCTATGGGGGGATGGGGGTCAATCCTAGATGTGGCCTTCAGCACTGGAGTAGATGGACAAGAGCAAGGTCATTTCCTCTTCTACCCCCACCTTGTTCTTTATCCAAAACATAAGGGGAACACTGGTGGTCAGGTTGTTTAGGAAAGAAAGTGGCTTATATTCCATAACTCACCCTTTAAATAAGGAGACATGAGAATTATTTGAAATCTTTAATGAACTAACTATATTCATTTCTTTTCCAAATGTGTAAATGTCATTCAGTTAATGCTGATAACTTTATGTTAGACATTGCTCTAGACACTAGGGACGGTAACAGTGAGGAGGACAAAGTCCTGCCTGCATGGAATTTACACCCTGGTGTGAGGGATAGGAACTAACCAGGCAAACAGATAAGAAAGTAAAGTAGAATGAGGGCACAGAAAATGAGGGGCTGAGAGGAGTCAGGCAGAGCCCTAAGAGAGCCAGCCTTGCAAGGCCCACATAAGGGAACAGTAAAGAAAAGGCCCTGGATTTTCTTTCAATCACTTCTTTATCTGGTTTTAAAAGGAGGTAACTTGTAGCTAGAAGGGTAAACTGTTGGGGATAAAAAAGAAAAAGGAGGGCTGATGAGACAGCTCAGTGGTCTAAAGCACCTCTTAGGCAAGCTTAGGCAGGTGCAGGGGACTGCAGTTTGATCCGCCGGAACCACATGCTACACCAGGCCAAAAATAGGAAAGAACGAACGAACGAACGAACGAACGAACGAACGAACGAAAGAAAGAAAGAAAGAAAGAAAGAAAGAAAGAGAAAGAAAGAAAAAGAAAGAAAGAAAGAAAGAGAAAGAACGAAAGAAGGAAGGAAAGAAAGAAAGAAAGAAAGAAAGAAAGAACGAAAGAAAGAAGGAAAGAAAGAAAGAAAGAGAAAGAGAAAGAGAAAGAGAAAGAGAAAGAGAAAGAGAAAGAGAAAGAAAGGAGGGAGGGAGGGAGGGAAATAAAAAAGAATGAAAATCATGAATGTCAGTCCTGAGTACTATTTTTACAGTTGTGTCATTATCCCATCAGCTTTTCCTCAAAATGATTCCTTTGCATTCTTGCACTTAAACTAAAGGACAACAATAAAATCACTGAGCATGCCTGTAAAATCGGCTAAGCAAAAAAGCCTGAAAAATCTTCCTGAGATTGCAAGGCTTATCTCACTAGTCTCCTCTCTTTTTGCTCTTCATCCTTTTGAGTGCAGTGGGGAGTGGGGAGAGTGAATGAGAAAGACACCACGGCACTGTCAGTGACCTAATGTCTAAGGAACACAGGAAATAAAACTTTCTTTTTTAATCTAAAAATTACTTTTTTATTTCCAAAGTGCTTGGAAGTAATATAGGTAGTTCTGATATTAGAGATTCAGGCTTTTAAAAGAAATTTGTATGGAATTTGTAATAACATAAAATAGATGGGCACCCTTTCCCTCAGTCCACATTCTCTGCTATTTTCTGCTTTGTTTGTTAATCTGAGTATTGCTTCCCTTCTAACACATTTTGGTTTTACTTTAGTATTTGTTTTATCTGTTTCGTTGCATTAGGATTTGAATCTCTTAAGGGCAGACCTGCATCTATTCATTCCTTTGTCCCCTAGCTCTAGAACAGTATTTGAGTCCTCATCTGTTCATTGAATAGTTGGAAAATGAGTAATCAACATAACATTTCAACCCTACCCAGAAAGGTAGACTACAGCCAAATAGTTGGTTCAGGTCTCTAACCTTCACCCAACTGTTAATGTTCCAAATTGTGACTGAGGTTTTAAAGTACTATAAATAAATAATTAACTGGTTTATAGGTGAGTGAAATTCAAACTAGCTCCAAACTAAACAATGAATAGTAAAATATTAAAATTCTAATTATATCTTATAATTGCAAATGTACACTATCTCCTTGGTTTCTTGTCTTTTTTTTTTTTCTTTAATGTATTTAGTACAAGGTCTACAGGGTTTCACTGCACAGATCAGACTTGTAGTGATCCTCCTATTTGCAGACTCCCAAGCACTGGGATTATAGGTGCACACCACCATGCCCAGTCTCAGTCGGCCTCTCAAAGGGTTCTGGGGG